CACCATGTGAGTTCTTGGAGCCCCATCTCCCAGCTCCCAGGGCTCCTCGTCCAGTCCTTCCCCGGCTCCTGAGAGCAGCTTCCTGTGAGCTCGGTCACCGGCTCCACTACGGGGCCTCCAGCCACACCTGGACCAGCCACGGGGAGAAGGGGATGGCCCCGCCAAGCATCACACCTCTGCCCGATACCCGTGGTGGGCATCAGCCATTCGCGATCCACAGCCACACGTGTGGATTTATGGCATGAGGGGGCCCATCTTTTCTGGGCGGCCGACGTCGAGGACACAGAGAACAAGATCGGCTCTGATCGCCGGCACCATCTGAGCTGACGGGTGCCGGGTCCCGAGCCATGCACGAGGGCGGTCTCTCACTTAATCCTCTATCTGAAAACGAGCGACTAGCCGGACTTTACAGGGGAGGAGCCTGAGACACAGAAGACTGTTGTAATTTCTCTGTAGCCACAGCACCCCTGCCGGGCACCCTGACGACGCCCGTGGCGGGTGGCTCCTGTCACTGCCCCTTCCCCAGAGAAGGAGGCCCGGGCTCAGACAGGTCAGGGGCGCCGGAGCAGCCAGGCAGGTGAGGGACAGGGCCGCTGGCTGCCAGGCCGGACCGTCCGTGACCCTGGGGCTGGCTCGCTTCCTCCTATGAGCTTGCTGAGCCGAGAGTGTGTCCTTCGGCCAGGCCCAACCTTTGCGGTGAGCCACGGGGGCTGGGGGGTCCGGGCAGCTCCCCGAGGGGTTTGCTGTCTGCGTCAGCTGGGTCTTCCCAGCGCCCCTTTGGGCCAAATTACACCCATTGCTGTAAACGTACTTCAGGGTGAATGGGCAGTTAGTAATTTCCTCTTGTGGTGGTGCTGGAAGAAGTGGGCGGCCACAGCTCATGAAAAATTAACAGTGAAGGAGGCTTCGTAACTTCCTGGGCCCTGCAGTCTCCGCTTCTCGGGGCCAAGTCTGTACCGGGCGTCTTCCCCACCATCCCTGTCTCCCCCCGCGGGTAGCGCAGCTCCCTCTGTGGGCACATGCTGCCGCTGAGCACCTCGGCGGGGACAGATGGGTGTCACCTTGGTGAGGGGACGAGGGCCGGCTGGGCCCTCTCCCGCTGACGGGTGACTCGGGGTTCCATTTCTGGGGGGCCGGGAAGAGGCCAGAGAATCTCTAAGGGAAGATGTCGTGGGCGTGCCTAGTCCTGGCGGGCAGTCCTGACCCTACGGGGCCTGGGCGGGGACTTCCAGTGGGCAGTGCAGTGGGACCACGAAAGGCACATATGCAGGAAGTGGCCGGCCAGCAGTTGGGGAGAGCTGGGGTTCGGGTTAGGCTTGGCATCAGGGTCCCCAGGGAAGGAGCTGGGAGGATTTCCCTCGGTTTCCTAGCAGAGAAGTCAGGAGGAGCCAGCCAACACTGGCTTCCTGGTCTCTGCCTCAGTTTCCCAGCTCTGGTCTTTGGTCCTGGGAGGTGACAGCAAGGAGCAGGGGCCGGCCCTGGAGGCTGGGGCGATGGCGTGGGATGGAGGGCTGGATCCCAGGGCGGGTGTGGGGGCCGAGATCAGGGCCTGAGGAGGGGAGGCCAGGCAGGACAGGGCTGGGGCTGGGCCTCCCTCAGGCCTGGAGGCGGGAGGTCAAAAACCAGCCCTCCTGGGGCCCGAGATGTGGGAGACAGACAGGCAGTGGACAGGCAGGGATGTCTTACCTGCTGATGTCCAGCTGTCCAGCAAGATGGCGGGGGGGCTGAAGCAGGTGCGACCCTGGGAGGGCCTAGAGCCAGCACGTGAGGGCTCTGAGTGGACAGGGGGGCTCTCAGCTGCAGGGAGAGTGGGCATCGGGGGCCGTTCATGTGGCTGCAGGGGCAGTGGGAATTGTTGGAGGGACTTGCCGATGTGTCTGGGGTCTGACATGGGGAGAGAAGAGGAGAAAAGCCACCACCCGCCTTGGGGTCTGAGGGGGAAGCCTAGCGGGGCAGATTCTGCTTGGTCTGGTGAGCAGCACCCCCAGGAGAGAGGACGGGGTGTGGCAGAAGTGAGCAAGGGGCTCTGGGCGGAGCCAGGGTTTGGAAGTCACCTTGTGTAGGTGGAGACAGGCAGGCAGCAAGAGGGGGCCCCCATTCAGGGTTGGAGGTGGGGGAGTCGAGGAGACTGGAGGAGAGGTGGGGGGACCAGAAGGGGTGGGGCAGGGCAGGTGCCATGGGCAGCATTCCAGGAGGCTGAGGAGGAGGGAGCAAGGCTCAGCTACCAGCCACGTGGGCGGGGCAGGGCCTTGCTGGCCAGATAAGGGCCCTGTGGGGGGCGCGCCTGAGTGGAGGGGCACGAGTCAGGGGAGACCCCTCCACTGAGGCCTTGGAGAGACCCCTCTACTGAGGCCTTGCTGTGACGCGGCAGGAGAGTACTGGGGGAGGATGTGTGTTTTTTTGTTGGTTTGTTTTTTTGTGTGTGAGGAAGATCAGCCCTGAGCTAACATCCATTGCCAATCCTCCTCTTTTTGCTGAGGAAGACTGGCCCTGAGCTAACATCCGTGCCCATCTTCCTCTACTTTATATGGGACGCCGCCACAGCATGGCCTGACAAGCGGTGAGTCGGTGCGCCCCCAGGATCCGAACCCGGGCCACAGCAGCGGAGTGCATGCACTTAACTGCTACGCCACGGGGCCGGCCCCATGGATGTGTTTCTGAGCTGGGTGCTTTGGAGACCCGTGTGGTCCCTCAAGAACGCCACGGGCGCTGCAGGAGGCCCTGGGCTCCGCTGAGGGGCATCTGCCCCCCTCACCCCCAGGCCCAGCCTGGCTCGTCTGACCAACTCCCCAAAGAGACCCTCAGGGCCTCTCCTGACTCAGCTCCAGGTGACACCTGCAGAGGAGGGTGGGATTCAGGGGTTCGGAGATGAGCCAGGAGGCTGGGGGGAGGGCTTCAAGGGGGGAGGGGAAAGGAGTCTGTGCTGGAGTGCGGTGGGGTGCAGTGGGGTGTGCTGGGGTACAGTGAGGGGTGCAGTGGAGTACACTGGGGTGCAGTGGAGTACACTGGGGTACAGTGAGGGGTGCAGTGGAGTGTGCTGGGGTGAAGTGGGTTATGCTGGGGTACAGTGATGGGGCAGTGGGGTGCGCTGGGGTGCAGTGGGGTACACTGGGCTACAGTGAGGGTGCAGTGGGGTGTGTTGGGGTGCAGTGAGGGGTGCAGTGGAGTGTGCTGGGGTACAGTGAGGGGTGCAGTGGGGTATGCTGGGGTACAGTGAGGGGTGCAGTGGGGTATGCTGGGGTACAGTGAGGGATGCAGTGGGGTGCGTTGGGGTGCAGTG